ACTTTCTCCTACATTTGTTGTTTTAACGATATGCCTGGAATGCCTTATTCATATTTATGCATATATTAATAGAAATGATTGGATCCTCTGTAATTTTAAGACTACTCTGTGATAACTTCCTTGATTAACTTACTCCTCTCAAAAATCTTTGGACAGTATTAGAAAGAAATAAACAGGCCCAATGAATCAAACATAGAATCGGATTTACATCCTATATCAGAATACGTTATCATGGTAACATCGGAAGCCCTCTTGAGACTACTGAGAATCTCAGTAAAGGATTATCAGTAAGGAACTACAATGGTTATAAGACTAGCTCATAATACGAATATTCAACTATACCATGGAAAAAAGGTAATTTGGTAAAATATCAGGAAGATACAAACACATGACTGAGACATGAAAACACCACTATGGGACAAACCTTCTGCAGCTACAGAACATGCTCTTTCCAAGCACACAGCACAGATATCTGTGTCATCTGTTGAGGATGTCACGGACTTAAATCCACAATCCCTGCAGTAAATTCCAAGGACTTGAGTTTATGTGGTGACACTGATATACTTGTCAAACTTTCTCAAGTAAAAACTTCTGTAGAGAGGGGTTTTATCTTTCCTAAAGCCATAAGGCATGCAGAAACTTAATCATATTAGTGTCCACAGATGTACTTAGTTGAAGCTTTACCTTGCTATGTTCAGTATGCTCATCAGAGGCAAGGACAGGTAATTAGAAAGGGAGAATGATGGTATTGTTGAGTCGGAATTGGGTGCTAGCAGTGGTTCAAGCCAGTGGCGCCCCCACATTCTGGCAACGTCAGCAGGAAGCCACCTGAAAGAATATTCTTCAGATTAGTCATGGCTCATGTCAATAGTATTTGAATACCAACTGTGAAAACCAGAAGAACTATACCCATTGCAATTCAAAGTCGTCTTACTGGCACCTCTTGCAAGGAGGATCTGCAATATACAGACACCATCAGTTTAAATTCAAAAGAGAGCAAATATTTTGTTTAGACACCATCAAAATTGATATAATTCTTGCCTGACAGCATTTTAAGTTACCCCCACAAGCAGCATAGTGCAATGGAGAACTTCCAGCTCCTACAAAAATAAAATTTCACTTCAGTTTGAAGCAGGATCAGAAAGGAACATTCCTTCAGTTAAAGAACTAGTTACTAAACAACAAGCAAACCTATCAAATCCATAGAAGTTCCGTAATGAAATGTCACAGCTGATACATTCGCATGAAGATCAAGTAGGAGTTGTACGCAGTCAAAATATCCATTCAATGCAGCCATATGAAGAGCAGTGATACCACAATCTGCTGCCTTATTTACAAACTTGGACAGAGCACTGCACTGGAATAGAATGAATAAATAACAAGAAAGAAATGTGTATCTAAAGGCACCCCTGTAAACATAATATATCTGATACTGGTTTCTTTGAAACCTAACTAAACTATAAATATCTAAGCAAAATTCCCTCCATCAAGAATTTGGAAAGTAATCCCATTTCATTACTCTTTTCCATTTGTGTTCCAATCATGGAAGAATTTAAATTTACAATAAGTCTCCTTAAAAAAGAAAGAAGCTACACACATACCTTTGCTCATTTTTGCTAATGACATTTACACCATCACTTCGGTCGCTATCTATCTGAGTATTCAGAGATTCGTAAGAAGCACTTGGAACAAAGTCAGCCACAACAAGTCTTATACATCTTACATGCCCATTTACAGCAGCAAAATGAAGAGCTGTCCGGCCAGTAAGATAGTCTGCTCTAGTAACCTAGTATCAGGAAGAATATATGATTCAAAATTGGATGCAGAATCAGTTCCTTTTCTTAGTGAAAAAAGGACTAGAATATTTTCAAACATAACTGCTATATCCGGCTTCACTAGAAAAGATTCATGACTCAAATATTAGAATCAAGTTAAAAGGCTTTGCAGCTTTACAAGGCCCGTCTGGATATGGTCTAGAAATTGCATATGCAAATTAGAACATAGTAACTCACATTACATCTGAAGAGCAGGAGGGTTTGTACAACTTCCCAATGTCCATATCGGCATGCTTGCATCAATGCTGTCTTTAAACACAGAAATCAAATAACTTAATCAGCATTTAGTATCAAACTCGGAACGACAATTCAAGCCCCTCGTGAGCTTCCATTTGCAATTCTAAGGTTCAATTTATGCAATAAAGCATACCAATCACAAATCTTTCTAATCAAATCGAACCATATCCCAAAATTCTCTCTAATGGAGATTCGAAGTCGCAAATTTAAATGTTATCTGATACACACAGCAAAATTTAACGAGAAAAGCACCAATTGTCGCACCTGCCCACAGTAATTTCTGGAATTGACATCAGCTCCATTCTCGAGCAGCAAAGAAACAATCTAAATCAAACCCAAATAAGAAAAAGCAAATCTAAAAATGGGATATCGGATCAAAAACGAACAATCACAAGCTACAATAAATTAAAACAAAAACCAACCCAGAAGAGAAAAAGGAAAAGGACCTCGTTATGGCCTTTAGCGGCGGCGAAATGGAGAGGGGAGTTGAGGCCACCAAAGGTGGAGTATTTGGCAAGGCAAGGATTGCAATCTAAAAGCATCTTTGCCTCTATTAAATCTCCATCTCTCGCAGCCGAAACTAGTCGTTCTCCGGAGGCAGAGCACCCAAATGAATTGCCCATTTCCCCCTCTCACCCTCTGTCTCTGTCTCTCTCTAAGTATATGTGTAAATATGGAAAAGAGGATAATTTAGGTCAACCGTCGTGGAACATTACTCAGTTACCAAAATCAGAGCTATAAATATATAAATAATATCATACCAGAGTCAGTGAGCCCACAACAATGGCAATGGGATTTGGACAATGGAGGATTTAGATATGGGATTTTGTCAAAAAAAAGTAAAAACATTTGTTTTCAAATATTTTCTTATTTGGTATTCGCTTAATTTCGTTTTCCTTGGTAAGAAAAACATTTCCTTTTGCTAGTTGTCCAATTCATATGGTTTCTAAAATAAAAGGAAAATTATATTCATACCCTTCCAAACAAATAATTCCCCACTGAAAAATTATCCCATTCAGATTCTCTTGCGCGTTCAGATCAGAGATCCAACGGTACTAAGGGAAACAAGCGGCAAAAGAGATCAGGTGGTCCGCAGATCACTATAATCATGCGTGCAGTGCAGAGGCCGACCAAAAAGAGGAAGCGTAAGTACATCGTGCCAAGTCACCAAAGCCAAAAACATAGTGGTCCGCAGATCACTATAATCATGCGTGCAGTGCAGAGGCCGACCAAAAAGAGGAAGCGTAAGTACATCGTGCCAAGTCACCAAAGCCAAAAACATATTATAAGAAGAAAAAAATCACGACAACTCTGATGCCTTTGTAGAAAACGGACACGTGGGAGATCCTAGGTTGTCGATGATGAAGTTCACTCGAATCGGACGACTGAGGAGGCATTGATTGAGAAATAATAATAGGGTGGGATAGCTTTCACGTGAGAAAGGTGTGAGTGTCAGAGGTAAGATTTCTCTCGTCAATAACTTGGGGTTGTACGCAAGGAATTAGGTGAAGGTTCGATGGGGCTGTGGGCCTATGTACGTGGGCTACTGATTCGTAAGCTAACGCCGTTAATTTTGATTTTTTTGCTTCTAAAGTTAGGAAGGGAGAGGAGTGTTTACACAAACTGTCAAAGCGTCATAGAATTCGACCCACGTTCTACCGAACTGACCTAAGAGCGCCTTATTATCATTATCACAATAAAGATTTTGTGACCCCAATTCATCTTGCATATATATCATAAAATTAAAGATTTATTATGTATGTTCAATCTACGAGGGTTTATTTTGGTCGGGCTGTCAACAATGGTTGGTGGGATCATTCTAAAATCATATTTATTTTTAATACGAAACCACAAAAGCCTATCGAACAAATATATGATTACAAATTTTGATGTCATTGATGATATCGACTCTTATCGTAACACGGCTTTGAAAAATAAGAAAAATAATAAGGTTAACTTGCCTTACGTAAACACAATTACAGAACAGTTGTCTGTGAAATAAATAAATATATGATTCACGAATCACAATTACGTACTACTACTAGCATGCATTATCATTTCGTCAACCTTAAATTAAACAAATGGTGGTTGAGAATCTCCTTTCTTTCTCTTTGTTGCTAATTCCCTATTTTATTTTATTTCTGCCAATCGTTGGGTGGGGAAGGGGGGGATATCAGTTAAATTGGTTCTCTACAAATTTTTGTCAATATAAAGCGTCAAACCGGAGTGCCAATGTGTGGGGAGGGGGGAAAATTGCTGCCAAACCACCGCAGCCGAACCCGACTGGCGTTGTTAATTCCCAATTGGGTTGGTCCTTTTTTGAAGAAAACGGGTTTTAGACTTTTTTTAAGTTTTATGACAGAACCCAGCCCCAATACTAAATGAGTCCTGGTCCAAGTCCTATAAACTTTTTAAAAGTTTACCTCAAATGGAAAACCCCATTTCATTTTTGCAAAGTACCTGGGTACCCATTGATCTGCATGCCCCCAAGCCCAACTGCTTCTGCTGAATATCACAAATCCTCTCCATTGGCAGTGTATATTTCTTCACTTCCCTAACAAGAATTGGTAATATAGTGGTTCAGTGTTTCCCATTCATTCATCTCAGTGTTTCTTAGTCAGGAACACACATGTGTTTCAAGTCAAAGAACAGATATTCTACAAATTTGGAGAAATGATAACCATTCGCAAACCTAAACCCTCCTGCGGCAATGCATGGCACAATATTGAATAATTTCAACTCAGATTCTGTTCAACTAACATTCACCTGAGATTTCAGAACCATTTGAATGCAATTACAAAAATACAAGACTTCATGAGTCCACGTTGATTATTTCTTAACTTCTGGATCAAGAGTTTGCAGAAGAATCCATTCTATCGCAGTTTATAATCAGTGTAACTTTTACAAAACACAACATTAGACAAAGTATTAGTGGCAATGGTTTAAGTTCAATTCAGAAAGTTGCACGAGCAATCTCCTAAAGCAAATCTCTTCTAATTCTTAAAGACTCGTGCTTAACTTCATTTTCTTTATATGCTTCCAAATTGTTTCTTTCAGATTGATAAGGTAGAACAGCATGGTAGTGACCAAATGGCCACTTTCAAAATTTGTAACTCACCTCAAACTTTCTCGGATCTCTTCGAGTTCCGAAGATGACGACAAGGCTATCTGGCATCAAAACTTTGCCCACCAATTTTCAAGAATCCAACTCCATCTGAGGTGTTGTCCATGAATAAGAAATCCTGCTTGCCATAAATGATACCCTCAATCACCGTGTTTCAAATACGCTCAAGGTTAGATGATGTCATTGTCGATTCTCCACCTACTCATTGCAATTTCCATGACTGTGATGACTCAAGTAGCAAATACCAATTCCGTCTCACATGGGCATCCTTTGCATCCATAGTTTTATAATGATCATCCTCATCAATCGGAGTCATAATCACCACCCATATCTGAGTTCATATCACCATCCACGCCCCTATCCTCCTGCCCAACGGTGTTCCCGCCTCCAAAATCTTCAAAAGAATTCTCAACATGGTCTCTTCTAATATGACCTCTCTCATCATCTTCCCAATCTCTGTGGTAACTAACCAATTCCCTATCCACTTTTGCCTTCCTCGGGCTTATTAAAACCAACTCAGCCAATTTTCTTCTCGCCAAATACAAATCGTTCGGCTCTATCAACTCACCCTTCTTATAAGCCTCCCTAAGAAACACTGTATGAAGCTTCCCATGATTTCCTCTAGTTGAAATATAGAAAATACCCTGATGCTGAAGAAGAAATTCTTTCAACTTATTTGGCAAATTCATAGCCATCCTAAAATGGGCAATCCTCTCCAATGTAATCTTCTTCTCCACCGTCAACGACAACAACTCATGAATCACAGCAACTGCTCTCTTCTCCATTCTCTTCTGAGCCTCAAGTGACCTCAAGTCATAACCGGAAACATCCTCATACGGTGACCAATAAGGAACTCTCTGCCATTTCCACACTGCAATCCTATAATACTTTCCTATCTTAAACCCGGGTGGAAAATTCACAATGAATGAGAACCTTATATCCTCAGCATCAATTCCTTTTTCCCTATACTCTATCTCCCTAAGCTTCTCTATAGCACACACAGATAAACTCGGGTCTTTCTCAACAACCTCAATGTACTTATTCCTAGTTTCCTGCGCATCAAACAGTCTAAAATACTGAGGGTACTTGATAATTACCGAGTATTCGAAATCATCAGGCAGCCCAAATTCAGCCCTTGCAATCCGAACATGCTCGAGGCGGAGCCGGCCGGTGTTAGACATCATCAAAAGCTTTCTGAGACAGGTCACGGCGTCAGGGATTTGGTCGATGAGAGCCTTCTTTTCCTGCTCAATCTGGAGGTGGGCTTTTCGGGTTAAGCGACAATAAAGGATTCTCTGAACTGGGTGCTCGTAAATCTCAAAGACATGAGGGAATTTGAGGACGAAAGCACCAGCTTCGTTCTGTTTGAAACCGAGGCGGCGAGCGAGGAGGTCGAGGCGGGAGATTTGGATGACTTGGTTAGGCTGGGAGAGAATGAGGTCCTGGAATTTGAGGACCTTGCGGGTCTTCTTCTCAACCTCCATGTAATTGTCGTAGCCATGGTCTCGGACTCTTTCTTGCTTCTTGGGTATGGAGGTGGACTGGGACATGGGTCTTGTGGAAGTGAGATTGCAGAGGATGAATGTGATGGGTTTCAGAGTTTTGGATTTGGGTTTGAAGAAATTGGACGAATAAGCTAAGAATATGTGCATTTTAGCTCTTCTGGGGGCTTAGGGTTTTGGCGTTGAAGGTGGTCAGTTTGCAACAGAAGTTAACAAGTGTGTGCTTGTTGCTGCGGAGGAGGAGGAGGAGACGACCGCAGAGAAAAATATTAAGTGAGACCCACGCGGGTGTAAATTGAAGAAAGATCAAGATGTTCAGGGAAAAATGGAATTACCAGAATTTATAAGGCGCAAGTGTAAAACTACATTTCCACTGGGCTACTTTTCAAAATTAGATCCTAAAATGGATTTTGTGGGCTTCAAATTCGTCAAGAACGAAACGATCTGCTAAAGGCCTGGCCTGCATATGGCAATGGTATGGTACAGTTTGGGCCACAGCTTATCTTTGGGCCTTGGTGATGAGATAAGGAAAAGCCCAAACAAGAAATAATTTCTAGATTGGTTCAATTGCGCGTGAGAAAAATGCACCAAGTTGAAGTAAATCTTGGAAATTTTTGATAGAAAAGAGAGAAGTAATTTAGCAAAAAATTCTTCAATTGTAACATCTTCCCCAACAAAAAAATAAAGGATAGGTAGAGGCACCAAAATTAAAAAAAGCATAAAGAAAGAGTTGAGGGAAATTAAAGAGACAGACCCAGCCATTTAAACATCCAAGTTCAAAATAAAACCATTAGCCAAAAAGGTTGTTTTCAATGTCACAACTCTGTATGGTATCGATAATTTAACAAAACACAAAAGGCAGAGCTGAGCCTACCCCGCAGGTCCACTGAGTCAATACCCGAACCACTCTTCAACTCTTGTTTTAAATTCAAAACCAGACCAGATTAAGCAGTTTACCACATCATAATTCTCCACATGCGGTTCGTTCTTGACTCGAAACCCGTGTGCGAAACGTTTCATCTCGAGCTCCTTACTATTCCCCCCATTCTAATCTTCTATGTTTCCCCATATATCCCTTTTTCTTTTCCCAAACCATCAAAAGCAAAAAGAAGGTAACAAAATAAAAGCATGGCACTAACATTATGGTACTTGAAGAGCCGATTTTATCTTCTCAATTGTGTGCGAGACGAGGGTGTTAACTGTATTAATCGACTGCACATCGAGCTTGGCTGCAGGATAGTTACTCCCCAAAATTTGGAATCCGACAGTCAGAAAACATCCACCATCATCACAGCCATTGCCTTCAGTTTTGACCATACCATAGCCAGGTGGACCACCAGGGAGGATTGCAAATCCTGATGGTAGGAGAGCTACATAGGCAGAATCTCCACCACGCATCACGGCACTCATTGATGCTGGGTCAACCGGTGCATACACTACAAGTGAGCCTGAAGCATCGCTCCACGACTCTTGCAACATCAGCATGGTATTCTCATTGGCATCTATCACCTGAAATCCGCAAAGTAACATAAACACAATGAAACAACTGGTGCATAGGGGGAGGAGAAAGAGTAGAAACTTAGCAACCACTCACATTGGCACGAAGGAGAGAAACACAGTTGCCACCTCCTTGGGACTTGGCAATGCGAAGCATGAGTTGCATTTTATGAGTTTTGGACAAAACATCCCATTGATCCCTTAACTGTTCATCTCGCAAAAAATCAAACAGCCTATGCCTTGATACTGGTAGCCAAACAGATGTTGAGCCACTCAACACGATCCCAGCAGGCTCACCAGGGTCATCCACACTCTTTCGGGCCATAACCCTCAAATCTTCACTAACATTATTAACACACAGTTTGTCCCACTTGCGCACAGATGAGGCAGAAACCCCAGCACAGAAGTTATCGATCATACGCTGTGCCAGCTTTAACATGCTTTTTTTACCATTGGTACCTAACCCTGTCGAATATAGGTATTTGTCAGAGCATAAAACTTCACATATTTGTCAGAAAATGTAAAAGAAGGCAAGTAGACTGACCTGTATGATCTTCAATTGAGTTCGTAGAGGAGATGAGAAATGCCAGGCACTCACATTGCCTTTGCAGAGTGGCAAGCCACCTCTGTGCACCAAAGCCCATACCCGAACGTAGTAATTGCCAGAAGAGGTGGTGCACGGTATTCTCATCGTATTCGGAGTGTTCTATCCAAGTCACCTGCAAAGTACCATCCATTAATTGGCGGCACCCACATAGCATCCATTCCAAACTCATGAACTGCTATTGAGTTCCACTAGTTACCTCTTTCAAATAAAAAAATGCAATAACAACAACAAAAAACCTTAAAAGCTCCCTGTAGACTATATCTTGATGGTTCCTTTCACACCTAAAATTTAATTTGTATCTCTTTTTTTGTCCAGAAATTTACTTCATTTATAGAAGAAGGCATTTCCTAAGAAAAGGCAAAAGGTACGCCCAGAACCAAGTTTTAGTTGTTCCCTTATTGGTCGTTCAGGCCATGCAGCCTGCTGACCTACATTATGAATTTACCAAAATGACCCTTCAGTTGTCACTCGAAAAAACAAGCAATGCATACAAACATTTTATCAAAAGCCAAAAAAGAATGCCATGTGTATGGGAGAGAGAGAGAGAGAGAGAGAGAGAGAGAGAGAGAGAGAGAGAGAGAGAGAGAGAGAGAGAGAGAGAGAGAGAGAGAGAGAGAGAGAGAGAGAGAGAGAGAGAGAGAGAGAGAGAGAGAGAGAGAGAGAGAGAGAGAGAGAGAGAGAGAGAGAGAGAGAGAGAGAGAGAGAGAGAGAGAGAGAGAGAGAGAGAGAGAGAGAGAGAGAGAGAGAGAGAGAGAGAGAGAGAGAGAGAGAGAGAGAGAGAGAGAGAGAGAGAGAGAGAGAGAGAGAGAGAGAGAGAGAGAGAGAGAGAGAGAGAGAGAGAGAGAGAGAGAGAGAGAGAGAGAGAGAGAGAGAGAGAGAGAGAGAGAGAGAGAGAGAGAGAGAGAGAGAGAGAGAGAGAGAGAGAGAGAGAGAGAGAGAGAGAGAGAGAGAGAGAGAGAGAGAGAGAGAGAGAGAGAGAGAGAGAGAGAGAGAGAGAGAGAGAGAGAGAGAGAGAGAGAGAGAGAGAGAGAGAGAGAGAGAGAGAGAGAGAGAGAGAGAGAGAGAATATAACCTAGACATGAGTTGACATGGATTGAAGACAATCATAAACTAAGAGTGCACCAAACAAGTTTGTGGAAAAGATAAAGAGTGAAAAGTCAAAATTCAGGCTTGTGGAGAAACTAACAATATAATAAAATATTGTGCAGAAAATTACACTATATGGAATTCAGTATACAACAATATAAGACTGGATCCAGGTCATTCAGTCTCGTGGACAATAAAGAAAACATTAATACAGAAGGAGAGATAGGAATAGAAGCATCAAATACATAGTTTATGCAATAGAGATTGAAATTTCCAAGGGTTTTACTTTCACCTGCACATAAAGATTATGAATAATCTTATATTTTAGATGCAGAAACAGATACGATGGTTTCCACTAATATTAAACTGTGACTATCCTTGATTTTCTCATCTCTTAAGAGCAGCAGTAAACTAATTAAATACAAACAATGAGAAATGAGAAACCCTGGCTTCGAAATTTGAAGATTATATAATAAGCAAAATGAGGAAGCATCTTCTTCAGTAAAATAATAATAAAGTGTACATATTTCTAGGTGAAGTCCTACTACATTACAATAGGAGCAATCCCATCAACCATAAAGCAATTTTGTTGGGTGATAATAAGAAAGTAAATTCTTTGGAAGCACAAGTCAGGCTAAGGCTAGGTCTGGGAATATAACTGCCCATACCTTGTTGTGTTCTCAACACACTCAAATTATGCAGCTCAACAACCTCATTAATAAGGTAGAATGAAAACTACAACAAGGCTAACTCAACAATCATAAAGAAGCATAACATTGCATGGAAGATAAACACACAAGTAGTAAAGAATCAGCTATTACCTTGGAGCAATTATTAGGCATATCTTGAACAATACATCCAGAAGGAAACCTCCGGCAGTTCAAAAATGCGTTTGTATTGGAACCTTCTTGATTGATGTCAATGGAAACATCGACCACAGCCCAAACACCCTCTTGATGTTGCTTGCAGAAACGGAGGAACTTCAGCGGGCGGACAGGGACCAACGGGGAGAGCACTTGATGCTCAGCATGCATCTACAAAATAAGATCCTCATGAGTTCCAAATTTGCAGCAGGAGAGGAAGAGGAAAGGTGGATAAGACAGAAAAGACAGAAGAAAAGAGACACACCACTTGAAGAGCACCATTTCTAGTCCCACCCATGCCACTGGATATCATATCAATGACGGAGGCTCTAGCAACCAAGCAAGAAAACATTTCTGCCCATCGATTCTGCTCAAGGAAAAACAAATGATTAAGTTCCAAATACATAGCTTCAAGCATTATTCTATCAATCAAGCGACTAAATATATCATCTTAATCTATAAACACTCAGATCAAATGCTAACAACGTGATACATTAAAATAGATAGAATGAAACACAAGCAAAAACTAAGATAGAGTAATAGAATCCTGATACAATTATTCAAAGAGTAGGATGGCATACCGCATCCATCAATGTCTCTACAAGAGCCAAGCTGTTTATTATCACCATACAAGTGTCCCTTGTGCCTTCAGTTACAAAGTTGCTGGGTTTCGTACCAATACAAGAAAATGCCCGGTACTCCTCATGGTTCAATATTTCTGTTCCACCATCTGAAGTTTTGACCCACAAGGGGCTATCTGCCTGAGCCATCTTAACCAATTCATCCATAGCTGCCATTGCAAGATCTATGTACATAGATCTTTCATATGGCATTTCATTGCCCAGTATGCCTGTAGAACTCTTAATTAGAGGCATCATTGGCGAAGAGCTCGAAACTCCATCTCCTAAATTAAGTCCCATTGGCAACCCACTGCCTCCAGCACTCAAACTACCAATCCCATTTCTTCCTACCCCAAGTTCCAAACCGGAGGTTGAATTTGGAAGAGAGATGGGACTGGCCAAGGACGAGATTGGCCTGCCCAAGAACTTGTTCGCCAAAGTGCATATCCGGTTTAGTTCATCTTTCAGTCGAGCATTCTCAATCCTAAGTTGGTGTTCCTCAAATGATATTTGACCAGGAATGGCAGGCCCACCACAACTATTGCAAACTGGGTTTGCCATAGCATCCTTCATCACACCATTCTCAGCACGGAGCTTGTCATTCTCTTGCCTAAGAATTATATTCTCATGGCGTTCCAGTTGTGTCTGATTCAAATTACGAATTTACATTTCCATTAATCACAGAATTAAAGACCAAATCTCACAAACACTGAATGAACAAAAGGAGAGAAGTAAT